AGTTCATCCAAATCTGCCGTACATAGCGTTTCAAAGAATTTAGCTGTGTATCTTACGTATGAATTTATTTTCTTGAATTTTATATTTTCATATCGAAAACTTTAAAATATATGTATATTGTTTATTTAGTCCACGAGGAATAAATGTCAATGTCTTGGCTCCTGGTATAACTCCCATAAGGCCTACATCAGCTGAACTTAATGATCTAAGACTTAGTGATATTCCTCAGGGTAATTAGTAAACATTAAATTTTGTCCGTTAGAATTATATTACTTTTATTACCCAAAATTTACATAAAAATTTTATTTGATTTAGGTCGTGTTGGAGGTGAGTTAGACATGGCTGGAGCGGCGTTATACTTAGCTTCGCGTGCTGGTAGTTGGATATCTGGTATTGAGCTTGTAGTCGATGGTGGAAGTCTTTTACAATTTAGATTAACGGATGTACAAAAAGTTTCATTGCACAGTGTACATTAACAAATGTGCAAAAAGTGCCGTTACCTTTATAAAATATAATCTATTTGCACTAATCATGATTAATAAAATCTGTTTAAACAATTATTTTTCTATGCTCATAAAATAATTGTGATTAGTTAGAAAAAGAATGAAAAAAATAAGATTAAAGATTGATACAAAATTTGGTTTATTATTAGAATACATCTTTTCACCAAGTTTATATTTTACGCTTCTATTCAAACCTAATATTATTTGCATTTTTTTGATTTCAATTAATCATGTATATACTATCAAATTATTAGCACTTGGCAGTTCCGTATAATTGTTAACCGCTATATCTAATTATTAGTTGGCGGCGAAGTCGTCACATAATCATGTGCTAGTTATGTATAAAGCTATTTTCAATTCTGTTTTCTTTTATTAAGATATATAAAACATTTACGTATGTACGTACGTACGTAAGTTCTCGCTTATGGTAAAATAGTTATGCAGCTGCAAATCGAGGAGTAATTAAATTGGAAATTGTGAAAACTGTGAAACGTGTGAACTATCTATCAATTTTATACTACTAGTGCAACTGTCAATTCACTAAATCCCGATGTATCTTTAGCATTCATTTTTGTGCTGAAGTCCCTTGTGATTTATGGCATCACAAAATTCTTACTTTTCTTTATCTCTAATGTAAATTATTATAATCTTGACTGTTAATTGTTCATATTACATATTGTCAATCTTTTATATAGTACTTTAGTGTTGTATGAACATTTATTTTCGATACAAATCCATCTGCTTAATTCCCATTGGGCTTTTTATTTCATTTGTTTAAGGTTATAAGTCTGTACCAAAATGAATGGAAATAATATCAAAGTAGTAGTAAGATGTCGTCCTCTTAATTATAGAGGTAAGAATCGTTATTATACTTCGTACGTTCTGTTCAATATTACCAAGAATATTTCCTGTAGCACTCTAATTCTACGTTACTGTGAATCGTAAAGAAACTTTAAATGTTTGTATCTAAAGGTCAATGTTTGCTTTTGGTTTAGAAATTGCATGGGGAGCAAAGTGCCTTATCCGGATGGAAGGCAATCAAACTATAATTACTAGGCCAACAGACACTAGTGATTCCGATAATGCAAAAGCCGCCGTTAAAAAGTACGATGAAGATGTCAAAGCTTTTACTTTCAATAAATCATACTGGTCCTTTGATAAAAATTATCCTAATTACGCTACTCAGGAACATTTATATAACGACCTCGGAAAAGAACTTTTAAACCACGCTTTTGAAGGATATAATACTTGTATTTTTGCATGTATGTGTATATATTGATTAAACGTTTATTCAGACGTAATTAATAATTATTTAATAATGCAAATTTCTTATCTATTCAGATGGAGTTTCTGAATCAATGCGGCCCACGCGCGTAATTCCACTCTTAATTTGGTAAACCAAACACTCTGACAAAAGAGGATCTTCATTGAGATTAACAATGTGTGGCACCATTTTAGGAGAATGTACACCAACGTCACTTTTCTTTTTTTTCTCGATCATGATACCAAGTTCTTCTAGTGTTTTTTCTCGTTCCAGTTGAATTTCTTCCGTACGCCTTATCTTTTCCTGACAAGTTTCGGTTACTTCTTTCATCAACTTTTCTGATGCTTGAATTTGATCGAACAATTCTTCTTTTATTTTCTGAATAAAGTTACCCCCCATATCTTTAAATGTGACAAATTGTTGACTGTCAAGAATACTAGAAAGACTAGAATCATAAACTTTTCGTAACGTTTGTAATTCTTCTTTAAGTTCACGAATGAGTCTCGCATTAAAATCTTCATTAACAATAGCCTTGTTTTTGATCCGACGTGCGGCATCAGCATAGCGAAGAGTGCTGAGTGTCTCATCATAATCTGCTGGAGAAATAGCAGCGATCATAGTTGTCTTGCAGTTACCTCCCAAATTGTCTTTAAGTAGCCACGTTAAGACCTATAATCAATTTTTTATTAATTTCCTTGAGCATATATTAACATATATTGCACTAGTGATATAAATAAAAATAGCTATCTTACAGAGTCTTTATAAGGAATGAACGAATTTTTTTTGGAACCACCACCAACAGATAGTTCAGCCAAAGCAGCAATGACTTTACCCAGATTAGTCAATGATTTATTAATGTTAGCACCTTCTTTTAGATGTTGCCCGATTGCATCTGTAGCATTAACACGTTCTGAACCAGCTAAATCCACAAGACTTGAAAAATAAAGAAATAGTAAATTATAAAGATAGAATTGAAAAATAAAATACGTAACAGGCAATCTTAATACCTAATACGAGACACTTTTTCGGTATCCATTTTAGTTGCCTCATTGTGATGTTTCTGCGTTAGCAATAATGTGAATATGGCATGCGAACGACTCGAAGTCGTATTCATATTTGTAGCAGCCACAGCTCTTAACTAAGCATACACCAGATGTAAGTGGAAAAATAAGATGAATAATAATTTAATAAAGTTATGTAAATATTATTAATTCGGGTGGTGCTCATTTCACCGACAATCACTTCACCGACAGCTTAGTTCACCGACAATTAATTCACCGACAAGTTCATT